GGGGGGGGGGGGGGGGGGGGGGGGGGGGGGGGGGTTAGGCGCGGGGACCTTGAGATCAAGGGGAGACCTGCGGCTGGTGTATCAGGCTGGCATAGTATAATTACTATTTCTTCTACAAAAGTGGATTATCTTAAATGTTTGCCCCCCAAGAGCCTCTGTGTGCAAGCAAATAAAGAACTAATAGATTTACCACCTATTGTGGAATAGGGATGATTCAGCACAACTCTGGCTATAACTAAGAATCACAGATAAAAAAAAACCAGAGCATAATTCAGCATTTTTAATTCTCCCTAAAAGTATAAAAGTACGAGAAAGGCCTGCAGATCGTGTATCAGGGTTTTTCCACTGGCCCCGCACTGATAAAGCTGCGGAGGCAGATAAGTTATTTTGTGCAGCACTTAAATCACGTAATTAGGCTTGTTGTAGAGGCCTTTGCACATGGGAGCGCACGGCTGCACTGTGGTCACTAGGGGCGCCGTTCAGCGCGTGCTAAGGTACGTTTGTAAAATAGGAGGGCTCTCTGGGAGCACGAGTGTTCGGGGGCCGCAATTTCAGGAATCTACTGCAGATTGACACAATACGGAGTCTCATCCCTGTCCTTTGATGGGGTTTTGGGGGGTGGATTGGTATTCCTACAAAAAAGTGATCTTGTCTGTAATTTTAATAAGACCCCAGCTAATTAAAAAGCAAAATATTTGGCTTAATAGATGTAGCTGGCGTGTTCTGCCTGTGGCATCAGAGTCGCAGTCACTCAGGACGGGCCCCGGTTGGGGGGGGGAGGGGGGTCTGGCTGTTTCTGCAGCGTCGCTGTGGAAACGCCTTACCCCATAGCGGGTAATTGGCGTGTTTGTGTGTACCTCTGCTGATTGCCGGGCTGGTGTAGACAGCTGCAAGCTGACACAATGTCTACAGAAAAACTCTCCTGGATTATGGACCCTCGGTACCGGTGAATTTGTTGGATTTTTGCCCTTTCGGTCATGGAAACATCGCAATACAAACAAGCCGGAGGAACGTTAGCGACATTTTTTTCTCCTTCTGGATGCAAAGAGCACAGACTGATTAGACAAACCGGAAGCTGGAGATGATCTGAAGTATACGGTCGAGATCTGAATATGATGGAGGAGATTGTGACATAAAATAAAAATAATACAGAATTCATTCCCAAAAAGAGTAAAATAAGTTCATTTTAAAGTGAGCATGAACTGAAAAGCACGTTTGAAATAATGTGTTTGAACATGAAAGCACTTCAATGCACACATTTCATTAATAAAAAGCTGAATTAGCAAAAACCTGAAAACATGCAGCTAGAACTCAGACCAGAAACTGAAAATGGCTTGTAGTTAAGGAATTATGGTATCATATACATAAGGGGGGCAATTTATGCAATTTATCTTCCCGTCCTGAGACCGTGGCCAAAATGTGACTGAATAGGGTGAGTCTGGATTTTTACTGTGTATCCAGCTGTCCAGGATATAGCCACCATTGGCATTTCAGTCCTGCTTCTAGGAGACTGTTATGAATTGTCCCAGCAGTGCACTTCACACCAATCAATGTTTCCCATTTGAGGTCATCCTCCGATTTATGAGGCACTGTTGTATAAGCTGACAGTCATCTCCGGCGTTAGAAAGTTGCTGCTGCCCTCTGCCTGGCAGGTTTCCTGCTTCACCTTGTTCTTGTCCACTGCTGTTTCAGAACCTTTGAGCCTGGAAGCAGCCTGCCTCGCAGTGTAGCCTCTGCTTCGCAGTGTAGCCTCTGCCTCGCAGTGTAGCCTCTGCCTCGCAGTGTAGCCTCTGCCTCACAGTGTAGCCTCTGCCTCGCAGTGTAGCCTCTGCCTCACAGTGTAGCCTTCTGCCAGCAGAACCAGGATTAAACCAAGATTTAAAAATGCAGAATTTAAAAAAAAATGTGGAGTGGTCTCTTAATTTTTCCTAGAGCTGTATTTCTTAAGACACTATGGCAGGCGAGACAACATGGAGGACAGGCTCTGCTCTCTGCCCATTATGGCAGGATGGGCACTGATTCAGCGCAGGCTTTTGAAGAAGGACAGCATTTGGGAAACTATCCATCAAAGCAGGGAAAATAACAGAGAAAGAGTGTTTCAAGGTCCAGTACAGCTTAACCCCTGGGGAGGGGGTGATATGACGTTGCATTGCTCAGTTTAAGTGCTCTAAAAGCCTTTTCACCTTCATCTTCAAAGGGCTGGTGTGACACAGCAGAGAGCAGGTGTGAGATTAAGGTCAGGTGTGGGACGACGGCCCGGCATAGTGCTACTGAAATCGCATCCTGATCTCCGTTTTGTCCGAAATGTATTAAGTCCTACACTTTATTGATGTTTCTGTCCCCCCTAATAATCCTATCTTGTCGAAACATTACCGCTTCGGACACGCGGCTCCTGCCACCAGCTCGCAGACTCTCTAAACATACTCCCACACTTCTTCCTGCGGCTGAAACAGTCAACCGACTTGATGGATTTCCTGGCCCTCGGTGGTAAAATTCGATCGATTTGTCACCACGCCTGTTCTTATAATGAGCGAAACTCAGGCATAAAGCAAACCTCTGGAAGATGAGGAAAGAAAAAGCACTTAACGTATTTTGGAAATAGCAAAGGTCTCCTTAAAAATTCAACATCTATAGCTTAAACCAGTGTTTCTCAGTCCAGTCCTCGGAGATGCTCAGACAATCCATTCCGGGTGGAAAAACAACAATATATATTTTTTACTTGAGTAAAGTTGCAAAATTGACAACGAATCAACAAAATATTATACTGCACAGGAATTCACGTTATAGTGATCCCAGTACAGGCGCTCTTCAGGTTACGATGGTGCCTATTACGATATTTTGACTTTACAATGGGGAAATGTTTTTCACTTTCAGTACATTATTAAATAAATTACACAAGATATTCAACACTTTATTATAAAATAGGCTTTGTGTTAATGCTTTTGCGCAACTGTAGGCTAATGTAAGTGTTCTAAGCATGTTTAAGGTCGGCTAGGCTAGGCTACGATGTTTGTTAGGTTAGGTGTCCTGCTTAAAATGCATTTTTGCCTTATAATAGGTTTCTCAGAACGTAACCCCATCGTAACCTGAGGAGAGGCTGTATGTAATCCATCCATCCATCCATCCATCCATCCATCCAGCTCCTCCACAGAAGCATAGGGCATGAGACAGGAGACACCCTGGCCTACAATTCCAGTACATCACAGAACTAGTTACAGTAGTTCTGATGCTGAAATAAAGTATTGTTGACGGGGATCTGCCATTTAATGCCGGCATTACAGGTGAGGTGCTCCTTGCTTACAGAAGCTGAGCTGGTGCTGTTCGCTTGGCTGAATGCGGAGGCTCTGCTCTGTGTGCTACTCGTCTCCCCTTTAGGTTCCCATATCACTCAGCTGTCGACCTGCTCCCTGGAGCCTCTCCAAACAGCACAGCGTCCCGCTGACGGTGACTCCAACCCAAACACGTCACCGTCTTCCTCCTGTATCTCACCTTCCCTCCTCTGACTGTCTGCCAGATTCAGAGCCACTCTGGACACGTTCTCTCACCTTGAAGCCTGGCTGAGTCCTACAGAATCCTGGGAGAAGCTCTTGGCCACGGTCTCCCATGGGCTTCGTTTTACCACGGAGGCACAAAGCCTTTCCATGTAGCACCGCTAGTCCTTTACAATTATAATCAGAGCTGTACAATTACAGCTATTATTTAACAGGAATCCTGCTCCAGCGGCTTCTCTTCAAGGCTGTCGCACAGGCAGTGTCCATTTCCCCACTAATCTCATTTCCACCAGCTTGTTTATTTTCCTGCTTCCTAGTTCCTTCTTTTGTTTTAATTATTTGTGTCGATTGTTCGATGTTTTCCCTTGATCGATTGACAGCGCACGCAACCTATTGGCTCATACTGTGCACAACATTTCAGACAGGCCTTCAGGCTAACAGGCAGCATAAAATGTTTGCTGCTCTGCTGGCAGATTTTTGCCTTGCTCTCAGTGTGCGGTACAACCAGTTAAGGCAGTGTTTCCCAACCCGGTCCTCAGGGACGAACAGACGGTCCATGATTTTGTTTCCTCCCAGCTCCTACCGGGAGCAAAAATGTGGAATGTCTGGCTGGGAGCAAAAATGTGGACCGTCTGTGGGTCCCCAGGGCCCGGGTTGGGAAACACTGAAACACTACTGTAGGGAGCCGGGAGCCAATCAAACTCTGGGACGCCAGTCCATCACAGGGCACATTCTCGCAGACTGTGGCTGGGTTTTTGGACCACAGACGGAAACTGCAAGACACGGGATGATGAACCTGACCCCACACAGATAATTTGAACCCCAGCCCAAGATGTGTGAGCCACCATCCTGTACATACCCCCCCATAACTGAAATATGACAGAGGACTACAATGAACAAAAATTCCTTGCAATAAATATGCCCACAATGTAATAATATGATAATTTTATGACATGGATTTATATTTATATTTATTATTATTATTTATATTTATATATTGACATGGATTACTTTGGTTTTTTTTAGCAGACTAAGGAGAGTTCGGACCACAGCTTATCAACAGCATCGTTTTTCCAGGTAATGAAAACCTCATAAATGAAATGAGGGACCCGCTGCCCCCGCAGTGTCATCGGCTCGTCACTGCATCATGCCAACCGCTGGGGGCCCCCCCACCTCGTAATGTAACGCAGACGTCTCATATCTCAGCGCGTGGTGCAGGCTAATATCTATGGGGTCAGTCCCACCGTGACGACCCCCGAAACGCATCACTAAGCGCGTGGTGACTCTGCGTGTCCTCGCAGGCTGCTGGATCCTGTGAGATGGTCCCCTGGCTGCTGAGCTGCTGTCAAGCACCATGGGGTCTGGTTTCTCCTCCTTCCTGCAGAGGACGCTGTGATTAGGAGCGTTCAGGCGCTTCCTCTGCCTCCATAACGCCCCCCCTGCATCCTGCAGATGCACAGTGAAGAGCCCATATGTGTGGGCCTCAGGTCCAGATATGGCAGTCATCTGCTGGGATCATGAGCAGACCTGCAGCGCCAGGGGACTGAGCAGATGGAAAAGGGGAATTCATTAAGACTATTCCAATGTAACAGGCTGGATAGGCAAAGCCGCTAGAGCGGCCATTTTGGCTCTAGGAACGGACCAACTGACACGGAAAATAGGGAGGATGAAACAAAAGGGTGGAATTAATGTCTCACCGCACACCACAGCTCATAGTCCCGCCCACCAGATACGTCACAGGTATGCCTTGGAAATGTCTTGTGTGGAAAGATTGTATGTTATATGGCCATCATCCCATCTCCTGCATTACCCGCCCCTCCACACAGAGGTTTGTAATTATATCTTTGTAGAGACTCTTCATTCATTTCTACAAGGAAAACTAATCCCAACATGATGACCGTAACCCCTACCCAGCCATAACCCTAACCATAAGTAACCAAACTAAATACGAGACTTGGCATTTTTAGTTTTTGATTGCATTCAAAGATCTTTTTCAGGACCTGAAAAATGTAATATAAACCTAATCCACACACACACACACACACACAAAAAGTCCCTGCAACGTCAAAATAACTGGTTTTTATTACATTGTGGGGACATTTGGTCCCCCAATATAACATATACATGACCCACACACACAGAGAAACAAACCACAGCTAATAATGCTACAGATCAGATCCTCAGCTCTTGAGGGAAGTATGATTTTTGAAGACCATCCATGTGTTTTTTCTGGTTATTTTTGGGACCTGCTGTTGGCTTTGAGGTTGTCATTTGAGATTAGGTACCGGGCCAATGATCAGATTCGACCTCAAAGCAAAGTAGTAATTAAATAGCTGTGTTTGTGGGGGGGGGGTCTGGCTTCTTGTACTTGTTTTTGAACATAGGGCTCCTGCTTTCAAATGTTGTTGTCCTGCGGGAAAATACTGTTAATTCATGCACAGGAAAAAAAGACCAGAACGAGTGCCGCCCCCCCCCCCCCCCAGTCATCAGTGGAATGTTTCTGAGGAAGATGGGGCAGGGAAGATGGTGTGGAGAGCCAGGCCTGCTGAGCGGGATCAGAACCACACGCTTCCTGAGTTGTGTGCATGTGCCTACCCACCATTTTGTAAAAAATGCAAGCAGTCAACCAATAACGTGCATAGATTGACTGTGAATAGTACATTGTGGGACTTGCAGTAAACCTTCGGTCAGGGTAATGTGGCCAAAGAGTGAGCTTCCTACATCATCTCTTAATCCCCTAACCCATCCTCTCGTCATTCCCATCTTCTACCGCTAACTGTCACGCCTTGACATTCACGACTCGCACCTCAGCGGCAGTAAGCAAGGTTAGCTGGACGTGTTTGACTGTATAATAGTTACATGAAGTTTCAAGATCATTAGCATTTGTGCCTGTGTACTTTTCTTGCGTCTTGTGTGTGGCTCTGAAACGGAGCCTAGCCACAGATTTGGTTTGCAGAACACCCTGCCAACATCCCATCTCACGTTCCATATCTGCTCATCCACACTTCCAGGGCAACCTGCAGCAATAACAGGTGGATGTTTATTGAAGCAAGTCATGTTTAGGATGTGGAGTGAAGGTACAACAGCAGAGCCCCTAGGGAACTGACCATGGGCAGCCTTAATGTTTCAGCTGGTAGCTGGCAAGCACAAGGGGGTCTATTAAAGACATATACATGAGGAATGAAGAGTTATACTGATCTACCTCCTTACTTTACTCTTCACCACTGTTATACCTCCTCCAGCAGGCAAAGTGCCCCCTTCTGGCTAATTCAGCTCATCACACGCATCAGGGCGCACAGTGTCTCCCGATTCCCTGTTTGTCACGGCTTTGGGAGACTTAATGTCATCCGACGAAGCATGAGGCAAGGCTAACTTGCTCGGGGACCAGGTGCTATTTTTCACGAGTCACCTTGGGCCGCCCAATCCTGGGATTTCCTGCAGTCGGGGGCCCGGTCCGGCAGCAGCGGATGGCAGGCAAAATCCTCAGTGCTCTTAGGGTCCAGTCACTCCTCTCTGAGAAGTAAAGTCTGCCGCCTGCCACTGAAAGCCAGATGCGAGATGCATTATTTAAGCGACGCCGCTGGAAATAATGCAGAATCTGAGGCGTTTCTCAGCCTGGATGCTCTGACCGCTCTTCTGTGCTTTACTCCTTTTTCATTAGATGTCATGGCGCTCATGAGAGAGTGACGCTATGAGTTTCCGTAAATAGGTCATTTCAGCCATTGTTAAGTGTGTGTGATGGAGTTTAACCCAGGAGGTGCCGGGTAGGATGTGTGTGTGTGTGAATGGGTCTCCTCAGTGCTGGAGGCTATTTTAGATGTGCAGTGTATGTGCAGCTGTTTCGTCAGGGTAATGAGCTGCAGGTTTTGCCTCCCTTAAAGAAGCTTTTCGCAGTGTTTCCTCGCCACCCACCGGTCACACTGTCTCTGACTGTCTGGCACTGACATTGTCACACTGGGCTCTGCACTGCAAAGGGCTGCTCGGTCAGCACTGGGCATGTCATGTGAGCTGGGAGATGGGTGCAGGAAGACACACGCGCGGACGTCCATACGCACATACGCAAACAGGCTAACGAGCCTCTGCTTTTAAAAAAAATATCAGATGAACTTAACAAGGAGGGCTTCGATCTTCAGACTCCATCCATCCATCTTCCGTACTGTTTATCTCTTAGAAGGCCATAGTGTGTCTGTGGGAACATATTCTGAAAAATAACCAAAAAAAGAGAGCAGAGCATGTAGGCAAGCATATAACCCCCCCC